TTTTTAGGAATTTTATTTTTGCTTCGTTTCTTGGTCAAATTAAGCGTATGATATGTCAAATTGAAGATTGAGGTGTCTAGTTTACTGTATAAAAATATGAGAGCAATTGGTTGAGTTAATTTTCCAAAATAATTGATAGAGTGAGGGTTGTTCCGAGCCCTGTTTGAGGTTGGCTGGCAGATTTGCTTGTCCAACTTCAAACGACGATATCCGGAGAAAACGAGAACTTTATGACTCGTGTGATATCTTTTCAGAAAGGTATTTAAGTATAGAATAACATATCAAAATATGGGAAGTTCGTAGAATGCGGTTTATCTGCAGAAATTGAAAGACCGAACCATATTCGAATAGGTAGAAAACGTAAAAGTGAGATTTAGGCTAAGTGAGTTTATGGGAACCCCTTAGTGACTTGAGAGAGGTAATATATGACATGTAAGTAGTTTAAATAATTATTCCGCAGAGAGTTTACAGTTACGGTCACAGATTTTATTATTACGCTTTATTATTGTTTTAAATGTTCGCGTAATAAATGAAAAAAGTTTACTCGCATTTTTTAAAATGAATTGTTGTGATTGTAACTGCGCTTAATATCATAATCATTGTTAATAATACCAGTACGTAACGAGCTGTTACAGATCCCCTCTTCCTCACCCTCATCAGCAGCTCAACAACCCCCCTCTCTCTCTAAGTTCGAGTTTTCCATTCTCTCTTCCTTCTCTCTACTGTTTCACCACTTAAACTTCATCAAAATCCAAAACACTCTTCAAAAATCTTGTTCCTTAGCCTTTGAACTTGTAAAAGCTTATGTTCTTGACCCTTGAACCTTAAATTTCGTGGCTGAACTTCCCTATACATCAGCTGCATATTCTTTCCTCTTATGGCAAAAAAATGGTGGTTGAAGCTCTTTATTAAAGAACACACTTCCTTTGGTCATTCTTTGAGTTTCTAGTGTAAGTTCCTTGCATTTTCTTTTTGAAAAACCCTAACTTTACTCTTTTAAAATTACGTCTTTTGTTCTAAATCCTTGAATATCTTATGAAGGTGTGTGTTCTTGGTGAAAAAGAAGCATTCTTGGTAAGTAAATGTCGGAGTTTGAACTAAATGAGTCATCTTGAAGAAGTAAGACTTGGATCCATGGAAAAGATGACTCCAAACCCTTCTTTCCCCCACTTTCCATTTTGGCCATGATGTATTCTTGTTTATAATGATGTTGTAAATTATTAAAAATGGGGTTTTCATGGTTAAATGTGTGGATGTCTTAAAATCAAGAAAGATGAAGACTTGAAAGAGAAAGTGTCACATTTGGCTAATGTGTGAGTTGTTCCTTGAAATGGATGAACTAAGAATCCTAAAACCTTCCATTATGATTCTGCCCTATTCGTTTAAATTTGGGTTTGATGGTTAAATTAATAAAGATGACACTTTTGGGAGCTAATGGCTTGATGGACTTAATTAAACAATAAAAGTGTGTAAAACATACACATAAAAACTCTAATCTAGCCACCTTGCAATTCGGCCAAGTTGTTCATCCTAGGGTTTAGCATTTTAAAATATGTTCTAAGACTTAATTGGGACACTAATGAAGGGACTAAGTGAGGTAGATTAAGCATAATTGATTAATTAACTATTAAATCCTAAAATTTAACCTAATTAGGGTTTAGAACCAATAATCATGTAATTAGTGAAGTAAATGAACTGATGCATAAATGATGATATGGAATTACATAAGGGATATAAATAAGCGAAAAACACGAAGTTTATGTTCACTTAGGGTTTCCAATTAAACCTAATTATGGTTTGCTAATTAAACCCAATTAAGGGGTCAAATGCTAACTTAAGCTTAAGGTAAGATGGAATCCATACAAGTACGTAACTAAATGATGGAAAATTGTAAGGAAATACCCTATGTATGATTCGACCATTCCTTGATTAATTCGGGTTTAGGGTTGCAAAATGGTAATGGATGATGAATTAGGGTTTGATTATGTAATTAAGGATTAATTCCACTTGTGGATTAAAGTGAGTTGATTTTCCATGTTGTGGGGCCTTGTATATGCCACGGCCAAGTAAGGTAATGTGACTTGATTTGGTTGATCCTTGAGTTAGTGGCTTAGAGTTTAATTACTTTCGTTAAAAAAGGCTTAAAAGTGAATGAGCTTTGAGAATTGGATTGTGATTCTTGGAATGGTCTTAAGTTGTGAACTCAAGTCTTAGGATCCTAATGTGAATTAATGTTCAAGGTTATGAATGACATATAGTGATGATAAATGTCTTGATTATTTGTAAGTCAAGTGGAGAAGGCCTTAACCTAAGAGGGTTTATTGATGGACTAAGTGTCTAATTAGTCTTTGTGGAAATAGGTAACAAATGAACACCTTGTGTACCTAATGTATGCCACGGCCATGAAGGATGTATATGGCTAGGATAAGTTAAAAATAATACAAGTTATTTTAATTGCCTTAGAGTGTAATTCTAAGATGATTAAAGTGTTTAAATCACATAGTGAATGGTGTTGTAAGATAACACTTCTATATGAGCTAAAACATGTAATTATGTAATAATGGTCTAGGCTTGTGTTGGGCATATTATTGGCATATGAGTATGTAAAAAGGAAATGGAATCAATAAATGGCTAAGTCTTGTATATTTACTTGACTAATTAATATGTCATTAATGTATATGTATGATTCCTTCTCTAGGTGTGCCTAAAGATACTTGCTTGTGAGGACATTGAGTTGGAGCATACGTACTTGCCTAGTCAAGTAGGCCTAAGTATAATTCTCTGAGGTAAGCTCTTTGTTTAGAATGTCCCTCTTCTCTTGTGACTCCACCATGATAGTGGGCATTATGGTTGCATTGCATGAGAGTATGAGATATGTTGTATATGTGAATTCATTAACATTCATATAGAGATTATATGATTCATTATGTTATGATGATGTATGTTATAAGGTTCTTGGCCAATGAGTGGGTATGTAGGCTCTTGGGTCATTCCCTTGAGTTATTTCATGCTCTTGAGATATTGTGTGTAGACTGCCTATGACTGGACTCTGGGGGTTATTGCGTACTAGGCATGTTGGACATGTCAAGATGTTGGCTATTGGAGGTTCGAGTCATGTAGGAAGTGAGTTCAAGGGAATAGAGGATTATTTATAAACCTTGAGCTTACTGAGATTATTGTTATCTCACCCCTTCTTGGGGATATCATTTCAGGTACCTACCATAATGGTGAGCCCTCCATAGGCAAGAACCAGACACGTGGCTAGTGGAGTGCCAGTTGGATATTATTTGATAGCATGTTCAGTGTTTTTAACATGCTATAGTTATGTTATTTTGAGACTATGTAATTGTATAATAATGCTCATGACTTGTATTTGATGAGCTGATGGAGAATTATGTATTGGTTATATATTTGTTTATATGCATGTGTTGATTATAGGAACATCCTTGTAATTGATGTTTAGTTTTGGGCATGGAGCCTTTATGTATGCATTGACCCACTCAGGGGATCACAGTCGATGTGGGACTTGTGAGATGTCCGATTATATAAACTGTGTCTATCAAGATTATGTTATTAAGTGAGATTCTTATCTCCCAGATATTCGTTAAACAATCGTTATGCTCTATGTAGCACTGATACCGACACGGGACACGTGACACGATACAACACTCTGACACGTTAATTCTAAAAAATGTTAGATTTCGACACATTATGACACGTTTTGATATTAAATAATATTTTAATTTATGTAGTGTATATTATATTTAATATTCAATAATTTAACAAAAAAATAAATCTAAACTTATAATATTCATAAATTTTGCAAAGAAACATAACATATCCCAAATATTTATATTAAACTCAAGAAAATAGTAATCGCAATTCAACGAATCTAATAGTTGGAACTAAAAACTCAACGCAACGCAACCTTTGAACCTTTTTGAATTTTTATAATGCGTGTTGGAGTGTCGGGGAGTGTCAGAGTGTCGGGAAGTGTCGAACACGACACGTCAGAATTTTTGAAGTGTTGGTGCTTCATAAGTTATGCTGCCTGTGAAACTCTAGCAAGAATGACATTTGTTGTCATATCCGGTTAGTCAATGCCCACTAATAATGGCTAATTTAGTAGTTGTATGTTTTAGAATTTACGCTTATGCAATATCTTATGTGAACACTTTTGGAAATGTTTTTAGAAAATGTTTTGAAAAAACCTAACTCATTTTTATAAGACAATTTCATATTTAATATAATAAAGTCTTCCGTTGTGTACGCTAAATATCATGTATGTTAACAACCGAAGTACTACGGCTATTACATTCATCACTCGAAATATATATTTTTCAAAGTTTTATTAAAGTCTCATTGCACTTGATTATAAAGTAGTGCCTTCAATTGTGAATTATTTAATTTTTCTAACTACATCTATTACATCGATTAGTTATACTTTTCTTTATAAGTATTATCTTTTCAGTTATATGTCCCAGTTAGTAGAGCTAGGCTCCTTTATTGAAGAAATTGACGAGTATGTCCTTTCTAATGTTTGTTAGAATATTGTATGCTTCTTGGTTGTGTTCTTTAAAGATTAAAATAAATAGAAATGTAAAGAAATGTGTTATCTGCTGAATAAATTCGCAATTCTTGGATGTTTAACACTCACATGTACCTATTGTAGGCTGATTACATATCGAATGAAAATGGAGACAAATGTCGCAGCTTCAATTGCAGAGAATGATTATAAAATTTGCGTTTGGTGAGCAAATCAGTAGTTCATAGATGCTTAACAGGTAATCATAGACACGTAGCTTGGTTAACATATCTGCCACTACATTCCCTTTCTTTTCGATAGTGTAAAAGATATTCATAAAAAAGATTAAGACTAAAGTGGATACTTTGACTATGTCAGAGCATGATGTAATTGAAAACTTTGAGATACACATGCTACTAAGTTGATAACTCAAGGGTAAACAAGTAGAACCCTTAACGATAAATCGATAATTCTATGGCTAACAAGTGAAATAATAAACATTACTGGTGAAAAGAATTATTACAATAGAAATTCACGAATGCGAACAGGCCTTTTGACCGCATTTGTAAAGCCCTGCAAGGAAATGAAGAATTCACAATGAGCATTCTCTTCAAAGTACCTTTTCAAAAAGGAAAAAGGAAAAAAAAAGGAAGATTTTTTTAGTTAAAAAGAAACAAAAAGAACTGTTTCAAGTCAGGTAACTAATCACTAGTTACCCCTTCCTTTTCCTTCTCGTAGGACAGTGTTAACATGTGAAGTAATAAGTAGCACAAGTAAAATTTGTATCACAATAACATACACGTTCGAAATTATGCTTTAAACCAGTGTTTCAAAAAATTTGTAGGATCAGACCGGTCAAACTACCCGGACCCTATTCTGGTCTGGGGAAAACCTTCAAACCGCCCCAGAGAGGTTCAACCACCCAAAACCAGAGAATCAGATCAGTTTAGAAAAATCAATTGGGTCTCTAAGACTAAATTTAGTCAAACATGAAGATTGAAGAATATTAATATGAACTTTGAAAAAGCCTCTCCCCCCAAAAACTAACTTGTAAAGTAAGAGAGTTCAAAGTCCATATAAACCTCAAGCTAGAATCTTATGTTTTCGATGTGGTACTAGGGGTGTGCATGACAACCTTCCCGGAATTTATTTATTTTTTTTAATTTCTATTCCCGGGAACAGAAACGGATAAAAAACTTGTTTGCTAAAACCGGTTTATTTTTTTGTTCCCAGGATAAACCGATTTAATTTTTGTGCTGGGGAACAGAAAAAAGAATCAAAAAGTTTCTGTTTTTTTGTTCCCGAGCATAAAATGAGAAACACTTGTTTCTCTCAATCACACTCCACCTCTACCATCATCACCACCACCATTTCCCGACACTTGTCATTGCCACCACCACCACCACCATCACCGTCACCATCACCATCATTATCACTACCACCGTCACCAACCACCCACCACGTCACTGCTGCTACTGCCATCGCCGCCGCCGCCGCCACCACCACCATTACCATCACCACCGCCACCATGTTATCACTATCACCGTCGTCGCAGCCACTACTGTCACCACCACCACAACCACCACTATTATAGCCACCACCATTACCACCACCGTTGCCGCCTATGAAGCACCAATACGGCGATTTCGATACGTTCTCGATGATACAGGATGTCGATTACCGTACAATACGTGTCCGATACGTTTCCGATACGCGTATCCGATACGTTGGAAAAAAATTTAAGAAGTATCGGTGCTTCATAGGCTGCCGCCACCACTACCATTATCATGCCACTGCCACCACTACACCACCGCCAACGTCACCACCATGTCATCATCATCACTATCGTCGCAGCAACTGCCGTCACCACCACCACCACTACCGCCGTCGTCGCCACTATGCCACCATTACCACCACTGTCGCTGCCACCATTACCATTATCACGCCATGACCACAGCCACTACACCATCGCCACCGCCACCACCATGTCATTACCATCACCACCACTACTATCATCACCATCATGCCACCACCACCACTATTAACTAATGTGAATGTGAGCTGCATCTCACCTGATTACTACTCTAGAGTTTGTTAGAGTTGTGTGAATTTGTTCTGAGGTCTGAGTCAGTCGAGTCTGTTCTATAATTAAACAAGCACTTGTATCATTCTGTAATTTTTCAGTTTTATCAATGGAATCTTTCTTCCTCACAGCTTTTCTCTCCTTTTCCCTCATTTTCACTCTGATTTCTATTAATCACAAGCTCTAATATTATGCAAAGAACTAATTCAACCCGAAGCTGAAGCCGTTTTATATTACATTTCTTTATCACATGGTAAGTGTGAATACAATTCTACTTGGACAATTGCCATGTATCTCAATGAAAGTAAAATTTCATATGAATTCCCATATTGCATTCTGCTCTACAAATGGATGCATGCAATGTTTCCAAATTGCGATGAAGAGCAAGAAAATCATATAAAAATGATTACAATTTAGTTGCATCATCGCTAACAAAGTTAGACAGGCTAATTATCTTATCAATGAATCGTCTATTGCTGTTAACTGAATTCACGGCTCCATGGTGCTTAAAAGAAGTAAAACTGCATGTAATGATTTGCAAAAATGTTTCTCTTAACATTCCCAACGCCCTTTGTAAAAATGATTTGCAAAAATGAGAGGACCTTCAAGTCGGCAACAATGAATCCTTACTATTTAAATGCAATTATTATTATTATTATTATTATTATTTGCCATCAAATACATGTATTAAGATAAAATACAAAGAAATTTCCATTTATATTCATAAATAAAAATGGGAAGGCATCATACCTCATTAAATTTAAAAAGTAAAGGGCATCGATCTTTCTCCAAGGTAGCTTCTTTCTGTAGAGATCTATCGTTACTTTGGGAACCCTTAACATTTGACTTCTTAAATCTGCTCTTGAAGCGAAGAAAACAATGACAATGAAATGATAATCATTCACCAAGACATGCTACCCATCCATCAATCCAATTGTACAAAAAAAGAAAAAAAACTAGCCTTATTTCACTAAGGGTGGTTGTTACACAAATCAATCAACACCATAAATCTTGTTATACATAAATCATCATAAACTTTTCTTTATCTCTCTTTTTTTTTTTTACCTTATAAAAAAAGGAGATTTTCTATAAAGCATGGTGTCTTATCAGATTATATCAAAAGTTAAAACGACAAAGATCAATACTGTATTTAACAATTTTGTCGATGTGCCAGATTTGAAAAGGCTGCTAAAAAAAAACAATATTTTTACCATGATAGAAGCTTAGCTATACATTATGGCCATCTGGAATATAAAATAATGAGTTCTCATATCAAATCTGACAAGATATAGCTTAGAGCATGTATAATTGTTTCATGAATCATGATTTTGTTATGTGCAACAAAATGGAATTAAGATGTGCAGGACATATTTTTAGGGACACGAAATTATTCCGATGCCTAGTATATAGGCCAGCAAAAGTCTATTCCTGGCTATGCAAATTCATAAAGGGACAGTATGTTAAGGAAAGCCCATGACTAGTAATCAGCTAGGTTTCATTTTAAATGGCCAATATATATTTCCAATATCTAGGCACTTAAATGGGCTTTCAAAATTAAAAGGTATGTATACCGCACATGGATTAGGTTTAATAGTCATTATTCTCACATATCAAAATTCACTTTTAGAAGAAATAATTGAAACTAAAATGTAGTTTTACTGAGTTATGATAGTGGTTGATAAGAAATACAAATAACTTTCAGGAAGAATCACCTGTCAAAGAAACTTGAGGAACTACGAGATTTCCTATTTCCCATATTTAGCAGTTTTGCACTGTCTGTTGCACTTGCACCTTTATCGGGATTCAATTTTGGCAAAACTGTCGTGGAATTTGCATTTAATTGCCTCGCTAAAACATGAGCCTGATTTTCAATGGTATTCATATTATCTGCAGCTGCATGATTGGGATTGGTTAATGGGACGTTGTTAGTTCCAGCCTCAAGAACTCCATGCCCTCCATTGGCTAAAGCAACAGTTTTCTCAATATTAACTTGTAAAATCTTATGCTTTTCAACCTGAAACGCGTGAAATAGTTGAACAGAAATATGAGACTAAAAAATGGGTATAGAAATCCCTAAATAATGACCAAATTTTAAATGAATCAACGTGAAGGAAAAAACTACCCAAGAAATAAAAAAATCCAAGGTTTTACCAAGGTCTACAAGCAATCTCAGAATGGAATTCTAAAAATTTAAGACTCCCATCGGAAATATAAAAACGTAAAAATAAATGATAAATGTACCTAAGCCTTATAGAGAGCTAGTTATATTTCACATTCACACTTCATTTTATTCTTTCAAATTTGAACATATAGGCAACTACCTGTTGACCTTCAGTCGCAAAGCAATTATATAAAGACAGCAGCAAAAATGCTATACATGAGGAAAATCATTGGTTAATGAACATTTCTTGAGATATTGTATTGGAAGTGAAGAGGGAAACACAAAGGAGGAGGTTCGAATATCCTCCTTAAATTAAGAAGCAATAGAAAAATATATTACTAAAATAAAACATCAGAATTTATGAAGTCTCACCTCATGCACCAAAACCTGCTTCATAGCTAAAGAAAGTACATAATGGTTTGAAGTATAATCCTGCACATACATAATAGAATAGATATTAAAATCTGGCTGATATTAACATACTTCCATCATAGAAATCATGAATAATGATCCAAGTCCAAACCATAAAATTTATGAAGTCACTGATTCGGGGAACAAGAGACAGAGCCAAGTCATCAGCTACTTCATGCCTCAGAGTATTAGGCAGCATATCTGATTTCGTAGTCTTATATGTTACAGAGTATGAGACCATTGTGCTAACTAATTGAGCAAGATCATTCTTCTCCTTGTCCGATAGTAGTTGTAATGCCACCTAATGAAAATGAAAACCATAACAGAAAAGAGAAGAAAAACAAGTTGTCAACAGAGCTATGTCCAGCTAATTTGAGTAATGAAAGATCAGCTTAAGCTCAACATAGACATCAGACTCGTAGTCATTGACAAGCAACATCTGGTTGAAAATCAAAGCTCACATTGAAGCTAAATGGTATTAACACAGTAAGAAATTTTATGCATTAAAGAATAAATTTATTAAGAAAAATAAGGTAAACAAAAATACATGAGCAGAGCCACAGAAGTCAACATATCCCTCCTCCATCATAATAAAAAAATGAAGAAAGAACTCATAGTGATAAAGGATCTTCATAAACAAAACTTAAAAAAATGACTTTGGGGGAAGGGGGGGTGCACTGTTGCAGGTAGTGTTAATAAAACGTCGAGTTGACTCGGTAGAAACGGCCATTTCTACGTTTTTGGGTCCGAATACATATTGAAACGGTGGTAGAAACGGAAAACTGAGTTGACTCGGTTAAAACGACGAGTCAACTCAGTAAACTCGGTTGATTCAGCGAGTTTACCGAGTCGACTCGATATTAAAAAAATCAATTTTCCCCAAATTAAGAAAATAAAAAATGAACCTATTTGTGTCTATGTTGTTCGCGTTTGAGCTGAGCGTCTCTGTTATCTTCTCCGTTCAACAACTCTCCTCCGTTCGTCTTCGTCCTCACTCCGCCGTTTGCATTTGATGTTAGTATATGGATGTCCTAGAGACAATCTTTTGATTAGATTAGGACATAAGTGGACCTTTGTATTGTCGCAAATAAATAAAAGCATTCTTTATCCTGTTTCATATTTTGTCTTGATATTACTGTTAATATTATATATGAGTAACTGGATAAACCCCTCGGAATAAAATAGGTATCTCTTGAGTATATGCGATGAGATCACGATCATAAGGATTCAAGGATACTGGATGTTTATTCCTAATTTTATGTTCCTAGTCTAGAGACACTGAGAATGGGGATCAGTGATCTCGGGTAAGACTAGCACGACTTATCTACTTGTATTCGGATGCAAGGTAAAGACCTCATGAGCTACAGATATGGAGATGTCTTAGCTAAAGTCGTGGGTGGACCTATAAGGGCATAGCTCACACTGAACAGACCCACAAAGAGACTCTATAAGGAAATCTCACAGAGAGTATCATTAGAGTAGTCTCTTTATATTTGGGTATGTCTTTCCTTAGACCAGAACTTATTGCATAGACTGTGTTCTAGAAAGCATGCTTTGCCTGGATACCTCGTCTGCCTGAAACATGAAGACTCATAGGTATATTGTTGGGCTTGTCTTGAAAGAGCACAGGGCTAGGGTGATAAACTGAAGGAATTCGTCAAATCTCTGTGAGAGATTACGTTATCTGTAAACCGGAGAAATTGGGATGACATTTACAGTGACTCGGGAATCTATGCATAGACTTGAATATAAAATAATATGTTGTGTATTGATCTGTGTCATAGAGTTACAATATATAGAGACCCTAATGGGCTTAAGTGAAAGGCCCACACCTAATCCTAATACAATCAGAATATTTACGGATAAGACGGAATCCAATCATATCTAATCATATCATATCTAATATTCTAACACTCCCCCTCAAGCTGATGCGTATATATTATGAGCACCAAGCTTGTTACAAATGTATTCAACCCGAGGACCTCTAAGAGCTTTAGTGAAAACATCTGCTAGTTGATTAGACGAGTTGACAAAAGTTGTCTTGATTTCTCCTGACTGAATCTTTTCCCGAATGAAGTGACAATCAATCTCTATATGTTTGGTCCTCTCATGAAAAACAGGATTAGAGGATATATGTAGCGCAGCTTGATTATCACAGATGAGTGTCATGGGTTGTTTCTGTTCACAAAGATGAAGCTCCTAAATCAACTGCTTTAACCAGATCAACTCACAGGTAGTATTTGCCATTGCACGATACTCAGCTTCTGCACTAGATCGGGAAACAACAGGTTGTTTCTTGCTTTTCCATGAGATTAAGTTTCCTTCGAAGAAGACACAATAACCAGAAGTAGAGCGTTTGTCCGAGGGTGATCCTGCCCAATCCGCATCTGAGTAACCACAAATTTCTGTATTTCCCTGATCCGAATACAACAAACCTTTTCCTGATGCTCCTTTGATGTATCGGAGGATCCTCACAGCAGCATCCCAATGTGAATCACAAGGGGAATCAAGGAACTAACTAGCCGTACTGACAACGAAAGAAATATCTGGCCTAGTCACAGTAAGATAATTGAGCTTCCCAATTAGCCTCCGATAACGTCCAGGATCAAATAACGACTCCCCCTGTCCGGGCAATAACTTGACATTAGGATCCATGGGTGTATCAACTGGTTTACTCCCCAACATACCAGTTTCTTCGAGGATATCCAAGGCATACTTCCTTTGACAAATAGAAATGCCCTGTCTAGATTGCGCCACCTCAATTCCCAAGAAGTAACGCAGCTTCCCAAGGTCCTTTGTTTGAAATGCACTGAATAAATGCTGTTTTAACTGATGAATTCCGTCTTGATCACTTCCGGTGAGAATGATGTCATCAACATAGACTAACAAATAGATGCACTTGTCAGGAGATGTAATCCTATAAAATACAGAATGATCAACTTTACTGCGGATTAAGCCAAACGCTTGAACGACAGAACTGAAGCGACTGAACCATGCTCGAGGAGACTGCTTGAGACCATATAAGGATTTTTGAAGACGACACACTTCTGCAAGGCATTTTTGATGTCAAGTTGAAGGAGTGGCCAGTGATGAACAGCAGCAAGGGCAAGAAATAGGCGGACGGATGCCATCTTGGCAACAGGAGAAAAAGTATCCCCATAGTCAAGACCAAATATCTGAGTGTAACCTTTGGCCACCAAACGAGCTTTGAGGCGATCAACAGTGCCATCAGGACCAACTTTGACAGTGAATACCCATCGACAGCCGACTACTGACTTTCCGGGAGGAGCAGGAACAAGATCTCAGGTGCCATTGGAGTGAAGTGCTTGCATTTCATCAATCATCGCCTGACGCCAACCCGGATGAGATAGTGCTTCACCTGTGGTTTTAGGAATAGAAACAGACGAAATACTAGAAACAAAAGCAAAATGTGGTGAATAAAGTCTATCATAACTCAAGAAACTATAAAGTGGATGAGGGTTGCGAGTGGATCGAATACCTTTGCGAAGGGCAATGGGAGTAATTTCTGATGGAGGATCCGGAGGGGAAGAGTCGACAGTAGCAGGCGGTGAGTCAATAAGGTTCAAATCCGCTGGAGGCGCAGTCTGACGACGCTGATAGGTGAGAAAAGGACGGTCTTCAGGGATGGAGGCAATGGGCTGCTCCTCCGGGATAGAGTCTCCTGCAACTGGTAAAGACAAATCAAGAAAAGGAACAAGAAGAACTTGATCAACTTGTGTTATCTGAGATGGGATAGAATGAAAAGGTTGTTGATCAAGGAAGGTGACATCAGCCGAGACAATATAACGCTTGAGATCAGGAGAGTAGCAACGATACCCCTTTTGAAAACGAGTATATCCAAGGAAAATACACTTGAAGGCTTTGGATGTTAATTTATCTTTTCCTGGAGTAAGATCATGAACAAAGCAGGTACATCCAAATACATGTGGAGGTAGAGGATAGGAAGGTGCTCCCGGAAATAAAACACTATGTGGAACTTCATTATGTAGTACGGAAGAGGGCATGCGATTGATGAGAAAGCAAGAGGTGATTATAGCATCTGCCCAAAAACGAAGTGGAACATTCATATGAATTAGTAGGGTACGAGCAGTTTCAACCAGATGCCGATTCTTACGTTCGGCAACTCCATTTTGTTGTGGAGTGTGTGGACAAGTGGTCTGGTGTAACGTCCCACGTTTCTCCAAAAAATTAGAAAACTCAAGAGACACATATTCTTTTGCATTATCACTTCGCAAAATTTGAATAGAAGCACCAAATTGAGTATTTATCTCGGCACAAAATTTTTGATAAATTGAAAATAATTCAGAACGATTTTTCATTAAATAAACCCAAGTGCAACGAGAGAAATCATCAATAAAGGTGACAAAATACTGAAAACCCAAAACAGACATTGTTCGACTCGGACCCCAAATATCAGAATGAACAATAGAAAAAGGAGCATTAGCTCTTTTATTGACTCTATTAGCAAAGGAGGAGCGAGTGTGCTTTCCTTGCTGACAAGAATGACAGTTTAAAGACTTAAGATTGGATAAAAAAGGAACCATATGCTGAAGCTTGGAGAGGCTTGGATGACCTAGAAGGCTGTGAATTAGCTCAGGAGACTCTGTGAGAGAACAGGCTACTGGAGAAGGTGGTGCAATCAGATAGTAGAGACCTCGTGACTCAATGCCCGCTCCAATCGTCTTCCCCGTACCCGAATCCTTCATAGAAAAGGATTGTTTAGAGAAGGTAACAGTACATGAAAGAGAATGAATCAACTGGCTAACAGAGATTAAATTAAAAGGAATGCCAGGTATATAATAAACAGAACTCAAAGTTAAAAGGGGAGTTGGGTTGGCTTCTCCAATTCCACAAGCAAGAGCCTTAGTGCCATCAGCAAGAGTGACAGAGGGTAGGTTATTAGAATAAGAAAGTGAAGTGAAGAGATTTTTATTACCACAAAGATGATGAGTAGCACCTGAGTCTATTATCCAGGGTCCAAGAGATGATTGATAAAAACAAGCAACATGATTACCAGTGTCTTGAGTAGGATGCTGAGAAGAAACCTTCTTGAGAAGTGCCTCATAGTCGGCACTTGAAAGAGTTACTAATCCAGTAGAAGGTGGTGTAGCATCAGTTTGAGCCAACTTGGCGGACGGTGGCTTCAAATGAGGGTACTTCCTATAGCAGCGTTCTTCAAAATGCCCAAGATTCT